TTGAAAGGCGGGGGGGGGGGGGGCTATGTTTGTTTTACCCCGTGGCCAGCACCTTGTGAACAGACATTATTCTGGGCTATTAGTAGCTTTAGCAAGTAATTAACATCAGCAGCTGCATGTGTGCTGGGGGGTAATGCTGGGGGCAGAGGCTAGCCGCCCCTGGGGAGGAGTGTCACCAGGCTAGCATGGCGCAGTGTGTGGCTGATAGAGGATGTGCTGTGAGATGGAATGCTGACGAGTGTTCCTTGCTCAGGGGTCATTCTACAGCAGATCGCAGTTTTTAATCTTCCAAATATATTTGTGTTAAAAAGAAACAGCTTAAAAAAAAATTCAATGATACATGGACTGCATATACAGTGCCTTGAAAAAGTATTCATACCCCTTGAAATTTTCCACATTTTGTCATGTTACAGCCAGAAACATCAATGTATTTTATTGGGATTTTATGTGATAGACCAACACAAAGTGGCACATAATTGTGAAGTGGAAGGAAAATGATAAATGGTTTTCAACATTTTTACAAATAAATATCTGAAAAGTGTGGCGTGCATTTGTATTCAGCCCCCCTGAGTCAATACTTTGTAGAACCACCTTTCGCTGCAATTTGGGGTATGTCTCTAGCAGCTTTGTACATCTAGAGAGTGACATTTGTGCCCATTCTTCTTTGCAAAATAGCAAAATTGCAAAATAGCTCAAGCTCTATCAGATTGGATGGAGAGCATCTGTGAACAGCAATTTTTAAGTCTTGCCCCAGATTCTCAATTGGATTTAGGTCTGGACTTTGACTGGTCCATTCTGACACATGAACATGCTTTGATCTAAACCATTCCATTGTAGCTCTGGCTGTATGTTTAATTTCGTTGCACTGCTGGAAGGTGAACCTCCGCCCCAGTCTCAAGTCTTTTGCAGACTCTAACAGGTTTTCTTCTAAGATTGCCCTGTATTTGGCTCCATCCATCTTCCCATCAACTATGACCAGCTTCCCTGTCCCTGCTGAAGAAAAGCATCCCCACAACATGATGCTGCGACCACCAAGTTTCACGGTGAGGATGGTGTGTTCAGGGTGATGTGCAGTGTTAGTTTTCCACCACACATAGCATTTTGCTTTTAGGCCAAAAAGTTTGATTTTGGTCTCATCTGACCAGAGCACCTTTTTCCACATGTTTGCGGTGTCCCCCACATGGCTTCTGCAAACTGCTTTCAACAATGGCTTTCTTCTTGCCACTCTTCCATAAGGCCAGATTTGTGGAGTGCACGACTAGTAGTGGTCCTGTGGACAGATTCTCCCACCTGAGCTGTGGATCTCTGCAGCTCCTCCAGAGTTACCATGGGCCTCTTGGCTGCTTCTCTGATTAATGCTGTCCTTGCCCAACCTGTCAGTTTAGGTGGACTGCCATGTCTTGGTAGGTTTGCAGTTGTGCCATACTCTTTCCATTTTCCGATGGTGGATTGAACAGTGCTCCGTGAGATGTTCAAAGCTTGGGATATTTTTTATAACCTAACCCTGTTTTAAACTTCTCCACAACTTTATCCCTGACCTGACTGGTGTGTTCCTTGGCCTTTATGATGCTGTTTGTTCACTAATGTTCTCTAACAAACCTCTGAGGGCTTCATAGAACAGCTGTATTTATACTGAGATTAAATTACACACAGGTGGACTCATTTACGTATAAAGTGACTACTGAAGACAATTGGTTCTACTAGATTTTAGTTAGGAGTATCAGAGTAAAGGAGGCTGATTACAAATGCACGCCACACATTTCAGATATTTATTTGTAAAAAATGTTGAAAACCATTTATCATTTTCCTTCCACTTCACAATTATGTGACACTTTGTGTTGGTCTATCACATAAAATCCCAATAAAATACATTTACATTTTCAGTTGTAGCATGACAAAATGTGGGAAAGTTTAAGGGGTATGAATACATTTTCAAGGCACTGTAGCTCCTTTCATATGGGCATTTCATCAATATGTTGACCCATGATTAGACAAATAAAAAACAGACTGCATTTTATTCCTATGGGCAGACGAATTTTGTGTTCAATTCCAAGGTACGAATAATAGATCTGCATCCAGATCTGCTTTTGTGGACCTGTCCACTTGTGGGCAGACAGACAGCTGCACAGTCATTTACATCTGGCCGCCCATAGTGAATAAGTGAGTCCATTTTCCCCCCATCACAAAATGGAAGAACAACAGAGTGGACACATTTCCACTCTGATTCAACTCAGCGGGAGATCAGTCTAGAGCAGCGGTCTCCAAACTGTAGCCTGGGGCCAAATGCGGCTCTTTGTTTGCCTCTGTCAATCCTTTGGGGTACTATTCCTCCCACTGACACCAGCAATGGGGCAATCATTTCTGCACTGCCACCAATAGTGTGGGACTATTCCTCCCACTGACACCAATAATGGGGCACTATTCCTCCCACTGACACCAACGATGGGGCACTATTCCACAGACACCAAAGATGGGACACTATTCCTCTCACTGATACCAATGATGGGGCTGTATTACTCCCACTGACACCAACAATGGAGCACTGTTCCTCCCACTAACACTGATGGGCCACTATTCTTCTCACTGACAACAACAATGGGGCACTATTCCTCCCACTATCACCAATGATGGGGCACTGTTCCTCCCACTGACATGAACAATAGGGCATCATTTATCCCACTGACTCCATTGATGGGGCACTATTCCTCTCACTGGCACCATGATTGAGGCAGTATTCCTCCGACTGATACCAATGATGGGGCACTATTCCTCCCACTGATACTAACGATAGGGCATCATTTATCCCACTGGCTCCATTGATGGGGCACTATTCCTCCCACTGACACCAAGAATGGGGCACTATTCCTCTTACTGATACCAATGATGGGGCACTATTCATCCCACTGATACCAACGATAGGGCACTATTCCTCTCACTGACACCAATGATGGGGCACTATTCCTCCCACTGACACCAACAATGGGGCACTAATGCCAGGACAGTTTCCTCTCCCACTGGCCACAATCCAGCCCCTGAAAAGTCTGAAGCATTGTAAACTGGCCCATTGTTTAGAAAGTTTGGAGACTCCTGGTCTAGAAGCTGATGGGAAAGACGGTGCCCATGTGAAAAGGGGCCTTAGATGAATACCCAGGTTTATAGAGTACTATATTCCTATTCTCACATGATCATATACAGCAATGTTTACATTAAAGCCAATAAAGTTTAGGTAAAACATTTTCTGTAAAAAATAAGCACAAGGGATGGTACTCACATTTCATCCAAAATGTCCATTATGCTGGTGCCAGCTGTCACAGTTGAAATCTTCTGCCCCCGACCCCCTTCACAGCAATAACCTTCTGGTGCTGCAACAGTTAACAGAGCCAAGGGACCTGCCACAGGAACTTATTAAGACTATAACCGCCCTTTCCACTGCCCTCCTCTATTCATAGAGGATGTACTATAGCTTCTATGAATGAAAAGTAATCTATGAATGTGGAGCGGGTGAATCAATGAAAAGTCCACCTCCTCCACTTATAGGACGATCTTTAATAATGAAAGCTATAGTACATAATTATGGGGGGGGGGGGGGGGGTGGAAAAGGCAGGCATAGTTGGTACTCTTAATGGTTGCCTGTCACAGGTCCATTGCCTCTATTAATCCCTGCAGCACCGGAAGATTACGGTGGAGGGGTTTGGAGTATCTCTAGCAGCTCTTTCTAACTCACCTGAGTCCACCATCGTGTGACCTTTCATGGTGCCTTTTCTGGAAGTGGAGGCCAGTGATGCACTGCTTTACTCCAAGTTTACCACAAACCATGTTGTGATGTCATTATACCAGTGCTGAAGTCTTCAGAACCAGGGATGAACTTGGGCATGTTTAGACACAAATCCAGGACCTGCCTGTAAATGAAACTTCTAGAGAGACATGTGCCTGTAGAGTCAAAGATTTTGTCTACCTGTTGGTGCTCATGTGCCCTTTATTTAAACTTCATATTTGTTTTAGCAACAGTGCTTCTCTGTAGTAGTGCAGTATTGCAGTAATCATCCTTAGCAGTTGTAGGAAGGATTGTGTTTTTATACTATTGTTCTTCATCTACCCAGAAATTGGTAACTGTTTTAATACAATGGTACCAGCACACCTTAGCATTTGTTAGCTTTACAAAATTGGCAATGGTTGTTTGGGTGGCAAAAATGTGTTGTGCATATTTTTTGGCACAAAATTATAGGACAAGTGAAATGTCACCCATTCTTATTTAGCAATGACACTTATAGAAGCAAACATTTTGCCACACATGAAAAACTAATACCCTTGTATTAAGTGTGGCAGTTAGTCAAAACCTAACTATACCTAAATCTACTCCTAGCCCCATTCTAAGACTATTCTATCTACTCTGTAAAAGGCAAGATGCCTATACTTACCAATGCTGAGGCCACTCCATCGGCTTCATTGTAGAGAAGGGACCACTGACAATGGATACCTTATAGCAGTGTTTCTCAACCTTTTTCCATTCAAGGCACCCTTTAAAATTATGCACAATCTTGAGGCACCCCATTATAAAAATTAAAAAAATTAAACTAATAGTTTTACATAATGCAGCAAAATATACACATGTAGAACACCCAACATTAAAGGTTTATTCTTCCAAAGCAAATACATTTTTACACACTGGCACTGACTAGTATTCTAATGTTTCTCTTCTCCCTCACTCATTTAATGTGACCCCAGTGCTGATGGAGAGGGGCAGGGGAGGGACAAATAAGGATGCTGTGTAGACACCTGATGTTCTTCTTATCAACAGATGAAGTCATTGGTTGTTGGGATGCCTAAAGCAAGAAGGTCGTAATGGTGCATAATGAAAACCTGTGGTTTTTTGTAACTAAAAGGCATCCTTACCACTGGCTTGTATACAGTTTTGGGGCAATTTCTAGGCATTTTTTCAAGGCACCCATGCAGAAACCTTAAGGCACCAAAGCTTGCCCTATAGTAAGCCTATGGGTGATTTCAGGGGTCTCCAAACTTTCTAAACAAAAAGGGCCAGTTTACTGTCCTTCAGACTTTGAGGGCCGAACTGTGGCCAATGGGAGTAGAAAAGGTCCCGACATCAGTGGGAAAAAAATCTTTGTTTGGTGCCAGTGGGAGGACTTCTGCCCCATCATTGATATCATTGGACCCTATCATTTGTGTCACTGGGAGGAATTGTGCCTCATCATTGGTTGTCATTGGAAGGAATTGTGCCCTCTTCATTGGTGTAAAGTGGCGGAAATTATACCCAATTGATATCAGTGGGTGAAATAGTGCCCCACGGGCCTGACAGAAGCAAGCAAAGGGCCACAGTTTGGATACCCCTGGGTGCCGTCATCGCCCAGGCTCTTCAGCCGTAGTCACTGCCCCTACTCTACACTGAAGCTGGTATTAGGATGCAATCATGTGACTGGACCGGAGCAGCTTCACAGTTGGTAAGTATACACAACTTTTGTTTTCAGGGGAGATAGAATATCTTGGAATTGGGGTGGACATTGGCTAAGTTAGAGTATGACTGGAATTCCATTTTAACCTCAACCCAACATTTTTTAATAAACATGAACCTAACCTTTAGGTTGGCTTCACACCTATGAGTAGCGGCACAACACTTGGTACATTGCATGTTCTACTGCAGGTTAATGCAATGCACAGTGCTTTGTGAGGTGCCTTGCAGTGCCATTCAATTTCAATCACACCTCAACATACAACTAGGCAGGGGCAGACTGACCATTTGGAAACTCAGGCACTGCCCGAGGGCCCGGGGTCAGTAGGGGGCCCCATGAGATGCCCCTGGTACCTTTTTCATAGGCTTTTTTGAGCAAGGACACAGGGGCCCCATGATCCCCTATTGGCCGGGGGCCCCATGAGTTGTCAGTCCGCCCCTGAGCTAGAGTATGTGCTAATGAGTGTTAAAAATGTTCTACTGGGACTCTACTTCATCTGCTGCTGCAACAGGCTGTTATAGGGTTCTTGCACATGGGCAGGCTGAGTTTATTCAGCATGTTTCCTCCAGGTCTAGGTGCAGCGTGAAGCCTGGTATTGACACAAATGACTGTGTGCTGCTGTACTCATTTTTAGAGTGGTGCTTATTAAAAACAAGTAGAGCACATGGATGTATTCAATTCATGTCAGTAACAGGCTGTACACTGTACCTGGACTGCTTGGCTGGAGGAAATATGCTGGCAGTTACTCAGTCCCATGTGTATGAGCCCTATACTGTTAAGGAACTCTTAAAATCTAAGTTTACCGATTACTTAAACATGAATATGAAGTCAAGGTGCCCCAGTAGGTAAATGAAAAAAAAAATCTGTCCAGCCTTTAAAAAACCCTCCAGAATCGCAGGAGCAAGTGCTTGTTACTTTGAAACTGGGGGTAAATCTCCAACATTTTCTCACGTACAATGCACAACCCAAGTTTGGAGATCTTTAACCCTTTGTTAGAAGAGACAGTGCGCAAATATAGTTTACAACTGATAATTGGTAAATGATGTCATACATCCCAGGAGTCTTCAGGAGGGAGGGAGGGTTCTCAGCTCAGCCTATGGGTTGATGGATTCTAGGAAGTAAATGATACACAAATCATCTGCCTTTACTCAAGATGGCCACTGCCAGGGGTGTTTTCAGTATAGTTTCACAGCAAAATAAAGCATAGAGACATGGATGGATGGAGGCGTTTACTTTTAATATTACAAATTAATTAAATAGCATTTTTGGTTTGTGATGTTCAGATGCAGTTCCACACATTACATGGCAGGGGGACATGTCAGTTTTGGAATTTGTCTGAAAAGAGCAAGTAAAATGTAAGCAACAATTTTTATTCATGTATTTATTTATTTTTAAGTCATGATTTGTGAATGTCATTAATATAAAAAAAAGATATTTCCCAATCTGACTGCAAATTGGAAAAAAAGAATTCAGTAGTCAGATTGCACATGGCCATCCACTAGAAGCCTGTTGTTGTAGCGTAATGGAATTGATGTTTGGTTGCTGGCATTAAAATGTATTTAAAACCAAAACTTTTTTCACTTTTAATAGAGCTTAGAAGAGTTATTAGTAGGGATGCACCAATACCCTTTTGTGACCGGCGAGTACGAGTACCGATACTTTTGGTCAAGTATTTGCTGATACCGGGTACCCATACTTTGCAGTGCGATTTGCGTCAATACAACATGTATGGATGCAAATTGCACTGTAAAGATTAGAATGCGACTTGAACAGCAATGTGATTCCGGTCCAAATCGTATGTGGTTTCCTCACTGCTCCTTTGTGAACCCAGGCCTGTCATAGCTTGAGTTCACACAGGAGGGCGGCGGGGGAAACCTAACTGTACCGATCACATGCTGAGTGGAGAGTGGAAGAGAAGGGCATATGGGGATGTATACCTTGGTGTTGGCCATTATGTGTGAGGATGGAGGCAGATTAAGCGCCAATGCTCCAGATTCTCATTTGCTCCAGATATTCCCTCTCTATTTAGTATAATGATCATTTCTCATAGGAGAAAAAAGGTTGGGCAATCCAACATTTTAGAGCTATCGTCAGAACAGAAGGTGAAGGGAAATCTTCCAATGGGAATACCTTTTCCAGTGATGAGAGGGGATTTGCCTACACTTTATCTTGTAACAGGATGTGATATGAAATCCCAGCAAATGAGACATACAGCAACTAGAAAACTTGCCGTGGGTTGTTAACATTCCCTTGCTGTATCAAAAATTAAAGAAAACATTGGGCTTTAGATACACACTTTTAATCCAGTTGTGTATTGAGGACATGTGGGCCAAAATGTGATAAATCTTGATAGGCCAACTTTTAAAAAAAGTGTTTGACCATCATTTTAGGGTATGCCCATCTTGAAACTCAGCCCAAGTAGATGAACTTGAGGCTTTAGACATGAACCTGCCCCTACACATAAACTGTATAATATTTATGATCAAAATTTTATACATTCTGGGCACTCTCACCAAAGTAAAGTTACAGGATGACTATATACAAGGGGGGGGGAGCAGTCATGCAGCTAGATTTCCATATTACATTATGCTTAACTAATAGGTGGTAGGTTTGGTATTACCAATATATATGCCCATTATTAGCCAATACGGTATTAAACAACCTAGCTTGCCAAACAATCAGTTCCTATGTGACCGACTTTACTCCTACACTCAATGTTGTATGATGACCTGAACCCCAAAGACACTTATGCTTCATTGTAGCAATATCTTACTCTTCTCCTTACCCACCAGTTCAGTTTTCTTCTTCTGGAGGAGCACCAAACGTTTGTGGATTCTGTGACCAATATAAAAAAACAACATGCATACTAGTGATTGACATCATTCTCAATAACATCCCTGCTCAGGCTCTGTGAAAGTTATAACACAGGCTAATTCAATCAGACATTAATGACAAGGGATGAGTGACATTGCATGCAAATACCTTTTGTTCCTAGAAATATGCAGCACATATATATCTTAGAAAGCACCGTATGGACTTTCACAGTTTTTGTCCAGCAAGTGACAACAGCTGACAGCTTTACCTTGCATGGTATGTAAAAACACATTGACTGAGTCCACTGTGGGATCTTATTCCAGATGGGAAAGCACTCGCAACAAATGGCTCACACAAGCCAGCCAGTGGCCGCGCTATTTCTGCATACAGGAAGTGATACAGTTGCAGACAGATAAATATAACTGAGAGAGGTAATACGACTAGACAAGATGACATATGGAAGAGACCACAGATTATATGCCATCACACTATTAATCCAGTATTTGATATGTTCGCTCCACATTCACAGCATTCCATTCTAGGAAGGAGACCACAATGTTGTTTAGGGTTTCAGAAAATCAAAATTCAAGAAGTAGTTTCTTAAGCCACACTGTGGCAAGAATATTTCAAGGTTTGCTGGGTTTATTCTTTGGTATAATTGCTAACGGTTCAGACCACCAAACACTATTTCGGTTTTGGGTAGGTGCTGGTTGATTCAGTCACTCAGAGATGAATACATCATCTGGGAGTTCTTGGCTCCATTCAGCTAATGGGCCTCATTTCTCATGGAAAAGATAGAGGAGTTTATATCTGCTGGAATCCCAATACTATAAAATAAATCAAATTTCAGTGGAGAAATTGGGTTGGCCATGTTTTAAAGTGAAGCTTGTGGGTGGAGCTGGGAACTTAGATGCAGAAATTTCAGTGCTGAAGATCTTCAGAGATATAATACGTCAGTGGAGTAAATTAACCATCTATCTTTTAATAAGAGCTGCCATGCAGATTTTGGCAGACCAGGGGTGATTAGAAATATATTTCTAGAACCTTTCCTAGTTTCTACAATGGTATTAAGGTCACCATTAAGTAGACAATATGTTTGCATAATGCAAATATACTATATTGCCAAACATATTAGGCCAGCCCTCCAAATCATTGGATTCAGGTGTTCCAATCACCTTCATAGCCACAGGTGTATAAAATCAAGCACCTAGGCATTCAGACTGCTTCTACAAACATTTGTGAAAGAATAGGTCGCTCTCAGGCGCTCAGTGAATTCAAGCGTGGTACTGTGATAGGTTGCCACCTGTGCAATAAGTCCATCCGTGAAATTTCCTTGCTACTAAATATTCCATGATCAACTGTTAGTGGTGTTATAACAAAGTGGAAGCAACTGGGAACAACAGTAACTCAGCCATGAAGTGGTAGGCCACGTAAAATGACAGAGCGGGGTAAGTGCATGCTGAAGCGCACAGTGCGCAGAAGTCTCCAACTGTCTGCAGAGTCAATAGCTAAAGACCTCTAAACTTTGTGTGGCCTTCAGATTAGCACAACAGTACATAGAGAGCTTCATGGAATGGGTTTCCATGGCAGAGCAGCTGAATCCAAGCCTTACATCACCAAGTGCAATGCAAAACTTCAGATGCAGTAGTGTAAAGCACGCCGCCACTGGACTCTAGAGCAGTAGAGATGTGTTCTTTGGAGTGGCAAATCACACTTCTCTGTCTGGCAATCTGATGGACGTTTCTGGGTTTGGTGGTTGCCAAGAGAACGGTACTTGCCTGACTGCACTGTGCCAAGTGTAAAGTTTGGTGGAGGGTGATTATGGTGTGGGGTTGTTTTTTTAGGGGTTGGGCTTGGCCCGTTAGTTCCAGTTAAGGGAACTCCTAAGGTATTGACATACCAGGAGATTTTACACAATTTCATGCTCCCAACTTTGTGGGAACAGTTTGGGGATAGTCCCTTCCTGTTCCGACATGACTGGGCACCAGTGCACAAAGCAAGGTCCATAAAGACATGGATGAGC